TTCAGAAGCTCTTGTAAAGCAGGCCTGGTGGTAATAAAATCTCTGGGTTCTTGCTTGTTCATAAAAGATTTTATTTTTCCTTCAGTTGTGAAGCTTAGTTTGGCTGGATATGAAATTCTGGGCTGAAGGTTCTGTTCTTTGAGGATGTTGAATATTGGCCCCCACTCTCTTCTGGCCTGTAGAGTTTCTGCCGAGAGATCTGCTGTAAGTCTGATAGGCTTGCCTTTGTGGGTAATCTGACCTTTCTCTCTGGCTGCCCTTAGTATCTTCTCCTTCGTTTCAACCCTGGTGAATCTAACGATTATGCGCCTTGGGGTTGCTCTTCTTGAGGAATATCTTTGTGGTGGTCTCTGTATTACCTGGGGTTGAATGTTGACCTGCTTTGCTAGTTTAGGAAACTTTTCCTGAATAATATCCTGAAGGGTAATTTCCAGCTTGGATTCATTCTCTCCGTCGCATTCAGGTACACCTATCAAACGTAAATTAGGTCTTTTCACATAGTCCCACATTTCTTGGAGACTTTGCTCATTCCTTTTTATCCTTTTTTCTCTAATCTTTTCTTCACGTTTTATTTCATTAAGTTGGACTTTGACCTCTGATATCCCTTCTTCTGCTTGAACAATTCGAGTGTTTAAACCTGTGCATACTTCTCGGAGTTCCTGTATTGTATTCTTCAGTTCCATTAATTCACTCATACTCCTCTCTAAGTTGTCTATTCTCAATAGGATTTCATCAAACTTTTTTTCAAAGTTCCTAGTTTCTTTACGTTGGGCTACAACATGTTCTTTTAACTCACCAAAGTTTGTTATTATCCATTCCTTGAAGAGTGATTCTGTCATCAGGATGCGCTCGTTCTCCATCAAGCCTTGTTCCATTGTCGATGTGGAACTGTGATCATCTTTAGAGGGAGAGGCGTTCTGACTTTGAGTATTCTCAGCTTTTTTACGCTGGTTTCTTCCCGTCATTGTAAATTTATCCTCCTGTCGTCTTTGAAATTACCAACTTTCAGATTAGGTCTCTTGAGTGGACATCCAGGTTGTTAGTTCCCAGGGCCAGAGCCGGTCTCAATCTCTTGACTTTGTGATCCGCCTCCTCGGCCTCCCAAAGTGATGGGATGACAGGCGTGAGCCACTGCGCCCAGCCAGACTCTAAGAATATTAACAAATTGAAAATAGATTTTCGTCCCCTAGTTTATGAAGGACTATGTAACTCATGAATTTTTCTGTAAATGACCCTACATTTTGGGTATCGTTGCGTTCAATAATTAGCTAGTGCCTTTCTTGATTGAAAAGGTAGAATTTTAGGGATTCTGGAGCAATCTTGTATGTTGGCTGGAGCTTAGTAAATAGTATGAGACAGCTTGGTAGAGTGTCGCCACTGTTGGAGTTAGGCCGGGTTCAAACGCAGAAGTTGGAGGTAGCTACTTATTGTTTCTAAGCCTCAGATTCTTCAATTACAACATAAAACCTAAGATACAAGTGCTGTTGTGTATAACAAGTGAGATCCTGCAATTAATGATAGCCGACATTGTTAGGAGTTGAAACCTCTACTTTAAGCCATTGTCTTATCTCCTCAATAAAATCCAGCATTTTTGAGATTTTTATCACTAAGAGAAGACATTCAATAAAGGAATCAAAAACAAAACAAGAAAAACCATTATGTATGGCTTCTCCTGGAGATGGCTTTGGCTCTGGAGTGATGCTTGCATTGAGATCTGAGTCCCCACTCTTAGTGTCAAGTGTTCTGGCAAGGCAGGGCAATTTTAAATTTTAGAGGGAAGGAGCGACATCTGTTGGACATAGTGAAAACTACAGTTTGAAGTAGTTTCGTGAGATTCCTGTAGTTCTTTGTTTTCTGTGATGTCATATGCCTACAAAGCTGGCTTCTGGGTGATTGCTGCAATAAAATGCATGTATTTATGTACATCTATCATGCATCAATAAAAATATTTGCTTATACCAAAGCAAGTATCTCTTAAATCAGTGTGGAACAGGAAATGGAGTTGGTGGCGTCCAGTCTGATGCAAGGGTGTGGGAAGTTGAGTGGTGTCCAGCAGACACTTGAGTTAATAGGACATAAGTAATGATTAAGTTGTTTTGCCCTAGCTACATACTTAATTGGAACTGTGAGGTATTTAGTTTGGCCTAAGTACCATGAAAAAATTACTGAAACATTAATGGCCCTGTGGCCTCAGAAAGTTTGGGACCCTCTATCTATGAATTCTGCTGCTGTCTTTTGTACCCTAGTTTTTCATGATTGTCATAATTCATGTCTTGCATTTTCATCTTGGTGTTTCTCCCAAATGTTGTTAGGTTTTAAAAAAAATTTTTATTTTTTGAGACAGTATCATTCTGTCTCCCAGGCTGGAGTGCACTGGTACAATCTTGGCTCACTGCAACCTCCACCTCCAAGGCTCAAGTGATTCTCCTGCCTTAGCCTCTCAAGCAGCTGGGACTACGGTGTGCCACGCCCAGCTAATTTTTGTATTTTTTTTTTTTTTTGTAGCGATCAGGTTTTACCATGTGAGCCAGGCTGGTCCCAAACTCCTGGCTTCAAGTGATCTGCCCACCTCAGCCTCCCAAAGTGTTGAGATTACAGGTGTGAGCCACTGTGCCTGGCCCAATTTTATTTTTATAAATACTTTATCAAGTGAATTACAGTATGTCAGATGGGCTTCTGAGGGTTGCACAAGTATTAACTGGGTAAAATTATTTTAGCATTTAAAAATTTGTAGTAAAATACACGTAACATTTATCATACTTTTTTTTTTTTGCTTGAGAGTGATTTATTAGAAAGCGAGAGAGACAGCTCCCATGCTGTTGTGGGAGGGGAGCCTGGAGTTGGATATCCCTATCATAACCATTTGTAGTTAACAGTTAGTGTTAACTATATTCATAACATTGTGTAACCAGTGTCCAGAACTTTATTTTACTTTCTGAGTTTGAGTTTCTCCCTGTTGCCCAGCCTGCAGTGCAATGGCATGATCTCGGCTCACTGCAGCCTCCACTTCCTGGGTTCAAATGATTCTCCTGCCTCAGCCTCCTGAGTAGCTGGGATTACAGGCGTGCATCACCATGCCTGGCTGGTTTTTTTTTTTTTTTGGTGGAGAAGGGGTTTCACCATGTTGGTCAGGCTGGTCTCGAACTCCTCACCTTGTGATCTGCCCACCTTGGCCTCCCAAAGTGCTGGGATTACAGGTGTGAACCACCACGCCTAGCCTGGAACTTTTTCATCATCCCAAACTGAAACTCTATGTCTATTGAAACACTAACTACTAATTTTTTCTCCTGTTAGCCCCGGACAATCACCAATCTACTTTCTGTTGCTATGAATTTGACTACTCTGGAACCTCACATAAGTATTTGTTCTTTTGTGACTGGCTTATGTCACCTAGCATAATGCACTCAGGGTTCATCCACATTGTGGCGTGTGTCAGAATTTCCTTCCTTTTTGTTAAGTTCACACAATATTGCGGGTATATGCATGCTGCATTTTGTTTGTCCTTTCATTTGTTGGACAGTATGGACACGGGTTGCTTCCCCTCTTGACTGTTAGGAATAATGCTGCTGTGAACTTCTGCATATACCGCAGCCTTTTAGAGAGATGATGTCTGAGGTACAGAGTTGTTCATCACTTGCCCAAAGCCAATGGAGATGTTGGAACCTGGATTTGAACCCAGGTAGTCTGGTATATATTTGGATTCTTTTTTTTTTTTTTGAGATGGAGTCTCGCTCTGTCGCCCAGGCTGGAGTGCAGTGGTGTGATCTCAGCTCAAGTGGTTCAAGTGATTCTCCTGCCTCAGCTTCATGAGTAGCTGGGACTACAGGCGCGCACCACCATGCCCAGCTCATTTTTGTATTTTTAGTAGAGACAGAATTTTCACCATGTAGGCCAGGATGGTCTTGAAGTCCTGACCTTGTGATCCACCCGCCTCGGTCTCCCAAAGTACTGGGATTACAGGCGTGAACCATTGCACCCAGCTGGATTCTTTTCGTGAATAGAAAACACAGATTCTCTATATGTAACAAATTGCTGCCAGAAGTATCTGGTAATGCTGAAGCTGGCACTCTCTCTAGGAAGTACCTTCGGGAGGCTTTTACATGTGAGTGTAAGCAGCACTCCGTAGCGTGTACTTCTGCACTTCGTGTGTAGATGCCAGAAGAGAATCTCCATTCACTGCAGTCTGTTCCAGTAACAAACACTGTAAGGTGTGAAGAGGAATGTTCTAGAGTGCCATGTGTCACCGTAGCGAGACCTCGTCACTGAACAGCAGACTGTTGAGGAAAAAGTCAGCTGCAGAACGCTCTGCAGAGTAGAATGCCATTTATGTCAAGTTTCAGAATATTCAAAAATGCTATACTTGTTTAGAGATAAGGAAATACATGGCGAAAATATTAAGAAACGCTTAAGATTAAACAAACATCAAATGTAGGTAAGGTTACCCCTGGGGAAGGCCGGGCATGGTGGCTCACGCCTGTAATCCCAGCACTTTGGGAGACTGAGGTGGGTGGATCTCTTGAGGTCAGGAGTTCGAGATCAGCCTGGCCAACGAGGTGAAACCCCGTCTCTACTAAAAATACAAAAATTATCCAGGCATGGTGGTGCATATCTGTATACCCAGCTACTCCGGAGGCTGAGGCAGGAAAATCGCCTGAACCTGGGAGGCAGAGGTTGCAGTGAGCCGACATCGTGCCACTGCGCTCTAGCCTAGGCAACACAGGGAGACTCCGTCTTAAAAAAAAAAAAGTAACCCCTGGGGAGTAGAGGGAGAACTGTGTTATGGAGAGAGACCCAGAGGACTTCAGCTACATTTGTAATGTTTGTAGTGCTCTTTTTATCTTTTTTGTAATGCTTTATTTCTTAACTTGGGTGGTGGTTACTGGTATTTGTATATTATTTTTGGTACCCTTTTCTATGTCTGAAATGCTGTTTAATTTTTTAAAGGGCCAGTGGATAGCATACATGCTTATGTATCCATGTGAACTCTGTTTTTCATGCAGTCAGCTGAGCAAGTTGCAAGAAGTTTCTCTGAGGAACTGTGCAGTAAGTTGTGCTGGTGAGAAAGGAGGAGTTGCCGAGGCATGTCCCAGTATCCTTTTCACCGAGAGCTTGTTGCTGGAATCTGGCTTTGGATATCACGCCTGTGCCAGGGACTGCTAGCCGCCCACCCATCTCCACTCTTCACAGCATCCTTCTTCATGCAGTTCGGGCCCAGATGAATTATATACCTTCCCAGACCCCTTTGCTTGCAGGTTTGCCAGCATGACTTCCCCAGCTGTGGTGGAAGTTTCTAGGCCAGGCTCCTTGAAAGGGGCACACTTGGCCAGGCATGGTGGCTCACACCTGTAATCCCAGAACTTTTGGGAGGCCAAGGCAGGTGGATCACAAGGTCAAGAGATCAAGACTATCCTGGACAACGTGGTGAAACCCCATCTCTACTAAAAATACAAAAATTAGCCAGGCGTGGTGGTGCGTGCCTGTAATCCCAACTACTCAGGAGGCTGAGGCAGGAGAATTGCTTGAACCTGGGAGTCAGAGGTCACAGTAAGCCAAGATTGCCCTACTGCACTTTAGCCTGTACCACAGAGCAAGACTCTGTCTCAAAAAAAAAAAAAGAAAAGAGAAAGAGAGCACACTTGGTTGGCCTCTGCCTTTTGCCTGTTGCTTTTACTTTTCCACCTGCTTTGAGCAGATGGAATGCCCAGGGTTTCGGCAGCTATCTTGCAAGTGTGAAGAAAGCCGTCCAATACAGATTGGGAGCGCAGAGGATAGGGAATCTGGGCTCCTGTGTCCCGGGGCCCCTGCTTCAGCCCTGGTCTGTCTTCTCATGCAGGCTTTTTTTTTTTTTTTTTTAATGAGACTGAGTTTCATTCTTGTTACCCAGGCTGGAGTGCAATGGTGCAATCTCGGCTCACCGTAACCTCCGCCTCCTGGGTTCAGGCAATTCTCCTGCCTCAGCCTCCTGAGTAGCTGGGAATACAGGCACACGCCACCATGTCCAGCTAATTTTTTGTATTTTTAGTAGAGACGGGGTTTCACCATGTTGACCAGGATGGCCTTGATCTCTTGACTTTGTGATCTACCCACCTCAGCCTCCCAAAGTGCTGGGATTACAGGCTTGAGCCACTGTGCCTGGCCTTTTTTTTTTTTTTTTTTTGAGACAGGCTGGACTGTCATGGCATGATCTTAGCATAGTGTAACCTCTGCCTCCCAGGTCCATGTGATTCTCTTGCCTTGGCCTCCATAGTAGCTGGGATTACAGGTGCCCACCACCATGTCCAGCTAATTTTTATATTTTTAGGAGAGACAGGGTTTTGCCATTTGGACAGGCTGGTCACAAACTCCTGACCTCAGGTGATTCACCCACCTCAGCCTCCCAAAGTGCTGGGATTATAGGTGTGAGCCACACGCCTGGCCTCATGCAGTTCTTATTAGTAGGAAAGACTTGGTTCTGGTTCCATGCAGCTGAATGCAGTTTGTTATGATATCCCAAAACAGGCTCTTTCTGAAATTTGGAATCTCTTTTCTCTACTTTCTCTTGTTAGTGTTATTTTTGTCATATGTTGCTTTTCTGCCAACAGCAAAAATGTAAGAGGTAAGTTAAAATTTCCAGGATGGACATGGTGGCTCATGCCTGTAATCCCAGCGTTTTGGGAGGCTGAGGCAAGAGAATCACTTGAACCTGGGAGGTGGAGTGAGCCGGGATCGTGCCACTGCACTCCAGCCTGGGTGACAGGGTGAGACTCTGTCTCAAAAAAAAAAAAAAAAAAAAGTTTGCTAAGGAGCCAATGCCACAGAAGTGTTAGAGCATTCTGTATTCAGCCTGGCCTATTCCCAAATCATTTCAGAGGATTGGTAAGTGGGCCGTGTGCAGTGGTTCATGCCTGTAATTTCAGCACTTTGGGAGGCCAAGGCGGGTGAATCATTTGAGGTCAGTTCAAGACCAGCCTGACCAACATGGTGAAACCCTGTCTGTACTAAAAATACAAAAAATTAGCTGGGTGTGATGGCATGTGATTGCAGTCAGCTGAGGTGACACCACTGTACCCCAGCAAGACTCTGTCTCAAAAAAAAAAATAGGCCAGGTTCAGTGGCTCATGCCTGTAATCCTAGCACTTTGGGAGGCTAACGTGGGTGGATCACCTGAGGTCACAAATCAGGAGTTCAAGACCAGCCTGGCCAACATGGTGAAACCCTGTCTCTACTAAAAATACAAAAATTAGCTGGGAGTGGTGGTGGGCACCTGTTATTCCAGCTACTTGGAGGCTAGGGCAGGAGAATGGCTTGAACGTGGGAGGCAGAGGTTGCAGTGATCCAAGATCGTGCCATTGCACTCCAGCCTGGGCAGCAAGAGCAAGACACTGTCTCAAAAAAAAAAGAACAGATGTGGCCAGTAGATGGGTTTGGGAGTGTTTGCTGTTTGGTTGCTCAGAGCTGTCAGCAGTGTCCTGGAGAATCAGCATGTTTGTTTATCCTGCACTTTTCTGGAGAAAAATCTCCTCCAAGACACGGAGAAATGAGGTTTCATGAGATAATCAAGTTATGGTTGGCATTTGCAGATACAGTGATGAATGTCTTGCAGTTCCCGATTGAATTCTCGCCAGAAGTGGAAGGATTGCTTTGGGTGCTTAATCCAGTTACCCTGCTTTGGGTTGGTCTCTCTTTGAGGTCATTTACTCGACCGGAACTCAAAGCAGTGGCAGCGTTGCAGACCCGGGTATGTCAAATCTCAGGGCACTTCCAGGGGAAGGTATGAGCCGCCGCCTCCCGCACGAGCTGTGGATTTGAATCTGTGCGCAGGAGCCAGACCTGTGTTTCCACGGGAGCTTCTTGAACGGCGTGTGGGAGAGGCAACCACATATTGACAGCTGTTGTTCTTTGTGGTTGATTTCAGGATGTAGGTGGTCTGTGTGCTCTGCCCAGACCTTAGAAACAATTATAACTCTAGGCTACATAATGGGAAGCAGCAGTGAGTGAAGAGTGATTGGACTTAAACCCTTCCTCAGCAGCCTGGCGGCCGCTGTAACAAGGTTAATGGAAACCCAGGGTGGCCGAAGTGTCACCCAGAGGTCTGGAAAGCACCCCGTGCATCAGCCTGTGTAGGGCAGTGTCAGGAAGCCAGGGCAGATGAGGGGAGCCCGAGGAGGAGGAGCAGAGGAACAGTTTACAGAAGTGATCGTGCAGGTGTGTCCCCAAGGGTGGAGGGGGAGCCCGAGGAGGAGGAGCAGAGGAACAGTTTACAGAAGTGATCATGCAGGTGTGTCCCCAAGGGCGGGGGAGGAGCCCGAGGGGACCTCAGGATGTTTGCCCAGTCTGAAATTCTCAGCAGCCTGCACTGATTCTTCTCCCATTGGATGCGACTGCCACAGCAAAATCGAGGCTATTCTGTAGCTACTCGTATTACCAGTTGAAATGCAACTGTTGAAGAGGGTAGACCCCATTGTTAGCTCTTGAGCTGTAGTAGTCCAGGCAGCTGGCAGGATTCGGGCACAGGTAGCTGGTGACTGGGTTTGGGGTCATCCCTTTCTTCGCGTCTTCTCTGGCGTCCTTCCCTTGTTCCTGACCTTGCAGAGCTTCCTAATTGGTTCCTGTCTAAAACTGTTTCTTTCTAACCAGCGCTCTGGAGTGATGCCTGTGTTTGTAAAGAAACTTTCTCCACGCGTTTTATGTATGTTTGATGACTTCTGTTGCATTATGGGGTAGAATAAAATGGATTTTGGATGGAGGCTGACTTGGGTGTAAATTCGCACTTGTTCATTTGTACACAGCGACACAGCTCTTTGACTGCTGTGAAAAAGGAAAAACACCCCAGTGTAGTCAGCGTAGCGCCTGGGTCTGGTTAGCAGCGGCAGCAGCAGTGGGGGTGGTGGCTTTTGCTGCTGCTACTGTTATTAGTGGATCTTAGAGCTCTTTTTTTTTTTTTTTTTTTTTTCGGAGACAGAGTCTCGCTCTTTTACCCAGGCCGGAGTGCAGTGGCAGGATCTCGGCTCACCTCAACCTTCTGCCTCCTGGGTTCAAGCGATTCACCTGCCTCAGTCCCCTGAGTAGCTTGGGACTACAGGTGTGTGCCACCATGCTTGGCTGATTTTTGTATTCACCATGTTGGCCAGGCTGGTCTTGAACTCCTGACCTCAGGTGATCTGTTTGCCTCACCCTCTCAAAGTGCTGGGGTTACAGGCGTGAGCCACTGCCCAGCCTGGATCTCAGAGCTCTTCTGTCGCTGGCCACTCCTCCTCAGTCGCTTCTGTGGGACATTTCTCTGGTTGCAGAGTATTGGGTGTACCTTGAGGCTCAGACTTGGGAGGCCTGGCTTCTTGGGAGACCTTCTAGGGTGTGGCTGGCCCTCCTTCATGGCCCGCCCCCTTCCACATCTGTCTCGAGCTGCTGCTTTGATACCTCTGTCTGGGTATCTAATGACCATCTCAGATTTGGCATGTCAAAACTAAGATCCTTCATACCTGCTCATCCAGTAGTCTTTCCCCTCGTAGTAAATGACAGTTCCAGCTGCACAGGCCACAGATCTTGGAGTTGTCCTTGACACTCCCCTTCTCCCATGCCCTGCACCTAAATCCATTGGCAAATTCTGTGAGCCCCACTTCCAGAGTCAGATACCCCCTCTGACATGACATGTTTCGCTTTCGTCCTGCTAGTCTGCTCTGGCCTCCTGGAGACTCCCTGCACTCCTTTGCTCCCCTGCAGTCTATGCTCAACTCAACAGCACAGTGACTTTTACTTTTTTTTCTTTACATAATAGAGATCCAAGTCAAAGCAGAATGCTTTTTAAAAGACCCAGGTCATCTTTCGCTGCTCCAAAGCCTCCAATACCTCCCATTTGGAGCAGAGACTGGCAAAGACTTTGAAGTGGCTTGCAAGGCCCTTTGTGATGTGGCCTGGCCCCTTGTCCCTTGTGACCTCCTTTCTAGTAGCCCCAGCCCATCTGCTCCAGTCACACAGGTGCTGGCAGTCCCTGTCATAAGCTGAGCTCCTTACCACCCCAGGGCCTTTGCTGTTGTCCCTTGTCTGTCAGACCCTAAATGATTACTTGTGGAATAGAAGAGTGCACTGAATAATTTCCACAAATACACATATCAGATGAGAGTGTAGCCTCCTCCACTAGTTGGCTTGGTCCTGCTGCAAGCCTCTCTGTCTTTCTCTGCAGGGACCTGGCTAAGCTGTGCCCCTTCCTGAGGGCGCGGCTCCTGCACCTCGCCCCTCACACTGACTCGCGTTACCTGTCAGCTTTGCATTTCCTGCCCTCCTGGGTTATCCTCTCTGTATCCCTGTATCACGAGCAGTTGGGTGATGCCATCACAGCTGCTTCCAGGCTGCCGGACACCTTTTCAATTCCTACGTCATGCACTTTTGAACATGTGTCCCGAGTTGGCCCCTGTTCTTTCCCCTGTAGATGCTATTTATCTGGAGATTCCTGTGGTAATGGTGCCCCATAGAAAGTCATGTACTGGGGTGAGGCTTGTGGCTGCTCATTAGTGCCGAGGGCAAGGCCTGCCTGTACACCTCAGGTGCTTAAGAAATCATAGTTACCCTCACTGCTTTTACCCTCTCCTTTTGATGTATAGCTCAAGGATGGTTTAGTGTTACGACATTTGGTTCTTTTTCATTTGATTGTGGATGTTGGTCTCAAGTTTTGAATATATGACAATTAACTTTTATTTTTAGTTTTTTGAGGCAGTCTTACTCTTTTTCCCCAGGCTGGAGTACAGTGGCACAATCTCCGCTCACTGCAACCTCCGCTTCCTGGGCTATAGAGATTCTTGTGCCTTAACCTTTGGAGTAGCTGGAATTACAAGCACGTGCCACCACACTCTTGAAATTTTAGTAGAGACGGGGTTTCTCCATGTTGGCCAGGCTGGTCTTTAACTTCTGACCTCAGGTGATCCACCTACCTTGGCTTCCTAAAGTGCTGGGATTATAGGCATGAGCCACTGCACCCAGCCTGACAATGAACTTTTTGGTTTCTCATTGAAAGTTTGGATAACCTAAAAGAGAAAAGCATTAAGTGCTCCTGAAAAAATTTCAAGCAGACTAGAGGGTATAAAATGAAAAGTTAAAGTGTTCATGCTCTGGAATGAAGAGTAGCTACTTTTATGCCTGTTGTGAATCTTTTGAAATTACTGTTTCTTAACATATGCTTTTAGATATTAGAAATGTTGATTTGTCAAAAAACCTGTTGTCGTCATGGGATGAAGTGATACACATTGCTGATCAGCTCAGACACCTGGAAGTCCTTAATCTCAGGTACGAACTTCTGGTTGCCGAATTTCACAGACAAGTCAACTCATCTCTCCTTGCTTCCTCCCACTGTCTCTGGAAATGAGGTAGGGAGCCAGAAGGATTAAGGCTGCCACTGGCTGATCCAAGGTGTTAAGAAGAAATTACTCAAGCAGATGTGAGGGTCTGGAAGTCCTCAGTAAGATTTTCCTTTTAATGAAAAGCAGCCCCAAATTATTTTTCTTTCTAACAAAGAGCAACCTGAGAAATCCAGCTGCAGATGATGCTGACAGTTGTGCCAATCACGTTCAAGATGGCGGCTCCCTCTTCCCTTCTCCAGCCATGTGTACAGTAAGGAACAGACAAGATGGCGCCAGCCAAAGGGAAAGGGAAAGTTCATTGACACAATAAGATTAGGGTGGGGCGGCCAGCCTTCCCTGCTATGTAAACATCATGCCTGATGGAAGCAATCTGTGAGCGCTCGGTAAATCGGACACTGCCTCCTCCAGCTGAACTCTTAAACTCTGTGCATCTGCTGCCAGCTTGCCTTTTTCCTTGTGGAAGTCTCCTCTCTCTCACTAGGAAGAGAGCTGTTTTCCTTTTTCTTTCTCTTTCTCTTGCCTGTTAAATCTCCGCTCCTGAACTCCTCATGTGTGTCCTTGTCCTGTTTTCCTGGTGTGAGAAGAGGAATGCCACGTATATACCCCAGACAGTGTGGCACCTTCACTAGTTGACATTTTTACACAGGCAGATTTTGGTTTACTTGAGTTTTTCTAAATTTAAGGACACATTTAATCTTTAAGGACTATATATATATATATATAAATTTTTTTTTTTGAGATGGAGTCTCACTCTGTCACCTAGACAGGAGTGCAGTGGTACAATCTCAGCGCACTGCAACCTTTGCCTCCTGGGTTCAAGTGATTCTCCTGCCTCCGCCTCCTGAGTAGCTGGGATTACAAGTGTGTGCCACCATGCCTGGCTAATTTTTGTACTTTTAGTAGAGATAGGGTTTTGCCATGTTAGCCAGGCTGGTCTCAAACTCCTGACCTTAGGTTATCTGCCCACCTTGGCCTCGCAAAGTGCTAGGATTCCAGGCATGAGCCACTGCACCTGGCCTAGGCTTCCCCTTTCATAGTTGAACCAGTTTTGCATAGATAGGTGAGTGTACAGTGTAGCAGGTAGACAGGCCTGAATGAGTTGTGCCCTCAAATAGAGCAAATGAGGGTAATTCAACCCATGGTGTCTCATCTTCTGGAAATAATGGGCTTGTGGGTTTTTTGTTCCTTTTTTGAGACGGAGTCCTGCTCTTGCCAGGCTGCAGTGCAGTGGCTTGATCTCGGCTCACTGCAGCCTCCGCCTCCCAAGTTCAAGCAATTCTCCTGCCTCAGCCTCTTGAGTAGCTGGGACTACAGGGACGGACCACCACGTCCAGCTAATTTTAGTAGAGATGGGGTTTCACTGTGTTGGTCAGGATGGTCTCGATCTCTTGACCTCATAATCTGCCCATGTCAGCCTCCCAGAGTGCTGGGATTTCAGGTGTGAGCCACTGTGCCAGGCCGGGCTTGTGTTTTTTAATAATATCTTTTTGCAAAGTGACTGTCAAGATTGAGTACTGTCTGAGATTGGGCTCTGAAGAAAGAATTTAAAAGGTAATAATTTTACCCATCTTCTAGCCAAAGGGCAGAAGACTCTGTTTAGAGAAGCAAAATTCTAGCCCACGATTTAGCGCGTCAGTAAGACTGGAGAATGGGGGACTGTTTTGCCATGTCCAGAGCGGTGCCTGAGATTGGGGTTTAGGAAGCTGCAGCCACATACAGCCGCCTTTATCCTGTGAAAGCATCTTTACACAACCGATACCAAAAAGTTTTACGTTGTAAATGTTAAAAATTAGGTAGTCTTGATTCACTTGAATCATTAAAAAAGTGATTTTTAAAAACGTAATTCCATTTTAAGGTTGAAACAAATCAAACTCCTTAGATTGAAGCCCAAATTGTTGCTTTTAGTGACTATTTCAGTTGGGTTTACTGTATAGAAATAAGTATATTGTATCTTCTTTTTCTACACAGTGAAAATAAACTAAAATTTCCCTCCGGTTCAGCACCTCTAACCGGAACGTTTTCTGCACTGAAGGTGTTAGTCCTCAACCGGACAGGAATAACGTGGGCCGAGGTAATCGTTTTGCTTTGGTTTATTACACATTAATAAGCAATTAAAAATGTTTGGTTTAGCTGGGCGTGGTGGCTCATGCCTGTAATTCCAGCACTTTGGGAGGCTGAATTGGGTGGATCACCTGACGTCAGGAGTTCAAGACCAGCTTGGCCAATGTGGTGAAACCCCATCTCTACTTAAGATACAAAAACTTTGGGCGTGGTGGCACACGCCTGTAATCCTAGCTACTTGGGTGGCTGAGGCAGGAGAATCGCTTAAACCCGGAAGACGGAGTTTGCAGGGAGCCTGGGCAACAAGAGTGAGACCCTGTCTGGAAAAAAAAAAAAGTTTAAGGTTGGGCGTGGTGGTTCACGCCTGTAATCCCAGCACTTTGTGAGGCTGAGGCAGGCGGATCACCTGAGGTCAGGAGTTTGAGATCAGCCTGGCCAACATGGTGAAACCCTGTCTCTACTAAAATACAAAAATTAGCCAGGCATGCACTTGTGATTTCAGCTACTCGGGAGGCTGAGACAGAACTGCTTGAACTCGGGAGGTGGTGGTTGCAGTGAGCTGAGTTGGTGCCACTGCACTGCAGCCTGGGTGACAGAGCAAGACTCCCATCTCCAAAACAAAACAAAAATTTGGTTTAATAAAGAATTGATATACAACTCTGTCTTCATATTAATCATCCTAATATCTATTAATAGATAACAGATTTTTTTTTTTTTTTTGAGACGGAGTTTCGCTGTTGTTACCCAGACTGGAGTGCAATGGCGCGATCTCGGCTCACCACAACCTCCGCCTTCTGGGTTCAAGCAATTCTCCTGCCTCACCCTCCCGAGTAGCTGGGATTACAGGCACGTGCCACCATGCCCAGCTAATTTTTGTATTTTTAGTAGAGACAGGGTTTCACCTTGTTGACCAGGATGGTCTCGATCTCTTGACCTCGTGATCCACCCGCCTCAGCCTCCCAAAGTGCTGGGATTATAGGCGTGAGCCACCACACCCAGCCCAGAATTTTTTTTTTTTTTTTGAGACAGAGTCTTGCTCTGTCACCCAGGCTGGAGTACAGTGGTGCAATCTCGGCTCACTGCAACCTCTGCCTCGTGGGTTCGAGCGATTCTCCTGCCTCAGCCTCCTGAGTAGCTGGGACCACAGGTATGTGCCACCACGGCTGGCTAATTTTTTTTGTATTTTTAGTAGAGATGGTGTTTCACTGTGTTATCCAGGATGGTCTCGATGCCCTGACCTCGTGATCTGCCTGCCTCAGCCTCCCAAAGTGCTGGGATTACAGGCATGAGCCACTGTGCCCGGCCAACAGAGTTCTTTAAACTGCCTTATGAAAGAGCATTGTAATTGAGTTCTCCATCTAGGCATCCATGTCCTCCCTTTGCTCATTTTGACTTGTTCTGGTGCCTTTATAAACAGTGGTGCTCCATTGTGGTATGCAGCAAATATGAGCTTTGACAAGCCTTAGTGTTAGCTATTGACTAGCTCCCTGAGTTTTCCTGTGAGTTTTTTTTAGAAGAGAAGTCAGACAGCAGAAAGGTTCTCAATCTTGTTAGAAGTTCAGCTCTTGGAATCCACTGTTCATTTTATATAGCTGGCCTCAAAAGTAGATTTGTGGGTCCTTGCACAGCAGCATTTGGGATTTAGATCTGGCACTACTATTTCCTGTCAGAGGTGTACTGACTTCACACACCCAGAGCATTCCACTGTCAAACCAAGGTAAGGGCGTAGAAATACATTCCCAGCCACATTCACCCTGGAAGTGCCACAGAGGCTGCTAATGAGAGACAAGTGAGCCCCTTGTGCCCTCTTCCCTAGGGCTCCATCTCTGTGAGGCGCTTACTCCCTCTCCAGGTGTAGATGTAGCTGGAAGACAAGGGACCAGACAGTGGGGCTCCTACTTGCAATCTCAGCGCTTTGGGAGGCTGAAGTGGGAGGATCATTTGAGCCCAGGAATTTGAAGCTGCAGTGAGCTAGGATTGCACCTTTGCACTCCAGCCTGGGTAACAAAGCAGCACCCACCCACGCTCCAAAATAAACCAGGAGGGGCACACACAAATTCAGATGGTGAAGATGGCAGTAAAGTTCCAGTGAGAACACTTAGAAACAGTTGATGAGGCTGGGCATGGTGGCTCTCACCTATAATTCCAGCCAGCACTTTGGGAGGCCCAGGCAGGAGAATCACTTGAAGCCAGGAGTTCAAGACCAGCCTAGGCAACATAGATCCTGTAGATGCCATATGTATATAAAATATTATATATTATTATTATGTGTATATATATTTTTGAGATGGAGTCTTGTACTCTTGTCCAGGCTGGAGTGCAGTAGTGCGATCTTGGCCTACCACAACCTCTGCCTCCCAAGTTCAAGTGATTCTCCTGCCTCAGCCTCCCGAGTAGCTGGAACTACAGGTGTGCACCACCATGCCTGGCTAATTTTTGTTTTTTTTTTTTTTTGAAACAGAGTCTCACTGTCACCCAGGCTGGGGTGCAGTGGCACAACCTTGGCTCACTGCAGCCTCCACCTCCCTGGTTCAAGCAGTTCTCTGCCTTAGCCTCCGAGTAGCTGGGATTGCAGGTGCCCGCCACCACCAGGCTAATTTTTGTATTTTTAGTAGAGATGGGGTTTCACCATCTTGGCCAAGCTGCTCTTGAACTCCTGACCTCGTGATCTACCCACTGTGGCCTCCCAAAGTGCTGGGATTGCAGGTGTGAGCCACTGCATCTGGCCTACTTTTGTATTTTTAGTAGAGATGGTGTTTCACTACGTTGGCCAGGCTGGTCTTGAACTCCTAACCTGCTGATCCGCCTGCCTTGGCCTCCCAAAGTGCTGGGATTACAGGCATGAGCCACTGTACCTGGGCTATTATATATATTTATATATATAATTTTTTGTAAAAGAAAGGCCCATGTGCAGTGTGGCAGCAGCAGGCACAGCCTCGACATGCAGAAAGATGCCAGCACATTCGTGGACCTGTGCATGCTGCAGAAATGCTCTACCAGCAACTGTGTCATCAGTGGCAAGGACCACGCATCCATGTGGATGTACGTGGCCAAGGCCGACAAGGTCACGAGCGGGTTTAACATCCACTTTAAAACCTGTGCTCTCTGCAGGACTGTTTGCAGGATGGTTGAGTCAGATGATTCTGTTCTTCGATTGGTCACAGCCAAGGACATCATCTAAAATAACTACTTTTTTTTTTTAAACGGAATCTCACTGTGTTGCCTAGGCTGGAGTGCGGTGGCATGATCTTGGCTTGCTGCAACCTCCACCTCCTGGGCTCAAGCGATTCTCCTGCCTCAGCCTCCCAAGCAGCTGGGATTATAGATATGCGCCACCACGCCTGGCCAATTTTGTATTTTTAGTAGAGATGGGGTTTCACCATGTTGGCCAGGCTGGTCTCAAACTCCCGACCTCAGGCGATCCACCCGCCTCAGCCTCCCAAAGTGCTGGGATTACAGGCATGAGCCACTGGGCCCAGCCTCAAAGAACTTTTGCCTGGAGAGAATCATGGATGTGGAATATTTGTCATAAATATATAATGAAAACTTAAAAAAATAATAAAAGAAGAAATAATTGTTGAGAAATTTTGTCTGATTAGCATATCCTTTACAAACCCAGATTGGCATTTAGAATTGAGGAAAGGTGTTTAACATCAATTTACCTCTTTTGGTTAAGCAAATTCTATCAAATAGTATGTGCAGTTGGCCAGGCGCGGTGGCTCACGCCTGTAATCCCAGCACTTTGGGAGGCCGAGGTGGGTGGATCACCTGAGGTCAGGAGTTCGAGAGCAGCCTGGCCAACATGGAGAAACCTTGTCTCTACTAGAAATACAAAAAATTAGCTGGGTGTGGTGGTGGGTGCCTGTAATCCCAGCTACTTGGGAGGCTGAGGCAGGAGAATAGCTTGCACCTGGGAGGTGGAGGTTGCAGTGAGCGGAGGTCACACCATTGCACTCCAGCCTGGGCAACAAGAGTGAAACTCTGTCTCAAAAAAAAAAAAAAAAGTCATAACAATATGTGCAGTTGGCATCTCCTGTGCCACCTCGTAGCTGCGTTACCTAAACCATGCATTCACATCTACCTCCAAGGCCTCAAAGTGCCCGCAATGTGTGCTCCCACAGCGTTAAAATGCACCCTTTACCATTTTATTTACCACCCCTCCACCACCATTCCAGGCCTGAAATGTAGTCTTACAAACTGTCTACGAGGCACTGCAACGGTAACTGAGCTGAATCCTCCTGGTGGTTCCTGTGAACACCGAAGGAAGAAACAACCAGCTGAGGCCACCGGATCCTGAACCTCATTTCTTTTCCAGGTGCTGTGGTGTGCCGCAGGGTGCCCAGGCCTTGAAGAACTCTACCTTAAGTCTAACGAGATTTTCATTTCTGAAAGGTAACAGGGCTTACTTAAAGGCATCTGTCCCTGTTTAGTCATTATGAATAAATAGATACATGTATTATATCTACCTTAATTTTTAGAAGGATTTGCAAACAAGAATTAGGAAAAATGCTTATTATTCATTGCCTTTGCAAATTAGAATTTCACTAATTGGTTCTAATCAAGGGAAACTCATCAGAATTAAATACTTGTGAAGACGTGAGTTATATTAGTTTTGCATCAATGTATTAATTTGCTGTTTCTAAATGGAAGTTCTGTAGGATATGCTATAAGGATTAAATAATATATGTTTAATTAGCATCATCTGTTTAAGGTCATTGTACCAAACTCTATGTAAAAGCTTGTTCTCTTAAATATGTTGCTTTGTCTTCCTCTTGTTACTATGTAAAATTAACCTAACTGGGAAAATTTACAATAGATTCTGAATTAAAGGATTCAGCATCTTAAAGATTTTAGTGTACAGAAGGGTTTTATTATGTAGGCAAATGCAAGTTGTTTTTTTTTTTTTTTTTTGAGATGGAATTTTGCTCTTGTTGCCCAGGCTGGAGTGTAATGGTGCCATCTTGGCTCACTGCAACTTCCGCTTCCTGGGTTCAAGTGATTCTCCTGCCTCAGCCTCCTGAGTAGCTGGTATTACAGGTGTGCACCACCACACCCAGCTAATTTTTGTGTTTTTAGTAGAGATGGGGTTTCACCATGTTGGCCAGGCTGGTCTTGAACTCCTGACCTTGTGATCTGCCTGCCCTGGCCTCCCAAAGTGCTAGGATTACAGATGTAAGCCATTGTGCCCAGCCTGCAGGCTTTTTAAATTAAACTTTATTTTGACATAATTGTAGATTCACATGAAGTTTTATAAGAAATAATACACAGAGATCCCCTGTATCCATGACCCAGGTTCCCCCATTGGTGACAAGTTACAAAACTATGATACAGGATTACAGGCTCGGTGTGACAGTGATGGAGTCGGGAATGTGTGCATCCCATGGAGACCCCTCAGGGTGCCTTTTACCGTCATATCCTCTTGCCTCTTACTCCCAGCCCTCCAGCACACCAAATGCAGGTATTTTAATGCTGTATAAAACGAGATAAATTCATGGTGAAAAACATTTTATTTTCCATACAGGCCAACAGATGTTCTCCAGACAATCAGGTTATTAGACCTTTCCTCTAATCAATTAATTGATGAAAGCCAGCTGTTTCTGATAGCCCACCTGCCCAGGTAATTTACCCCTAAATGTCTGATACAGTGGTGTTCAGTCAATTCTTAGTGAAGGAATTTTCATATGCTCTGTATGCTTTCTCAATAGCAATGTGATCACGATGATAGAATTTCTAAATTGAGTAATTCCCTTTGGGAAATTTTCATTTGAATTCATTTAGAGAATTTACTTGTGAACCCTGTATAATGTGGACTCTTGTCTGTACCAGATAATTTGAAGAATGAATACTTTGACCCTGGTGATAATGCCAGCGGTCTTCATTCACTAAACTCCACCAGTAGACAGACCATGTCTCTTTCCTGAGAGCCATTTAGCGCCTGACAAAGCAGGAGGTACTCAAGAACCATTAGGTGACTGTAGCATCATTAGAATGTAGCATCAAGAGTTCACTTTGCTTGTCCTAATTTGGACTTTAAAGTTTCTAAGTATTTTACATGGGATTAAAAACCCAGGGTGCAGTAAAAAATTTACGACCCTAGTCTGGTTGATACCCCATAGCATTTTATATTGCTTTTTTGTAATCAAATTTTACATCTTAAATTTCAGGTTAGAACAATTAATCCTCTCTGACATTGGAATTTCTTCGATACATTTTCCGGATGCTGGAATTGGTATGTAAGATTAGTAGAGTTCCACCTCGCCCCCATACTTCAGCTGCTTCCTTCACTTCTACTGTGTAACTGAATTCTCCTTTTTATAGGGTGCAAAACATCCATGTTCCCGTCCTTGCAGTACCTTGTAGTAAACGACAATCAGATATCACAAGTAAGAGTTTCTTCGGAGTATGCACTGCACATTATTGCTTCTTTCCACTCTAGTGGCAGAGTTTGTAGGTTCCTTCTACTAAAAAACTAAAAAAAAAAAAAAATTTAAATCTAAGAGAAATGTCAGCCCAGGCATGGGGGCTCACACCTGTAATCCCAGCACTTTGAGAGGCCAAGGCGCGCGGATCTCGAGGTCAGGAGATTGAGACCATCCTGGCCACCATGGTGAAACCCTGTCTCTACTGAAAATAAAAATTAGCTGGGCGTGGTGGTGGGCACCTGTAGTCCCAGCTACTTGGGAGGCTGAGGCAGGAGAATCGCTTGAACCCAAGAGGCGGAGGTTGCAGTGAGCCGAAATTGTCCCACGGCACTCCAGCCTGGTGCTAGAGTGAGACTACATCTCAAAAAAAAAAAAAACCAAAAAACAAAAAATCCTCCTCTGTATGAAACTCCTCATATAAAGCCAAAAATATTAAGAAAGAAATTAGTTCACTTCACACTTAAGTGGACTGTCATTTTGAATGGCACAGTTAATAGAGTAAAAGTATGTGGGCTTTCTAGAGGGGGTTGCTTGGTGCATGATGAAATTCCCTGCCTCAGATTAGAACTAGGGACTTGCTTTCCTGTTGCTGGTTCAAACTTCTGCGTAAGTAGCATGAAACGTACTGCTTTTCATTTATTTCTTTTGCTGTGTTTCAGTGGTCCTTTTTCAACGAGCTAGACAAGTTACCAAGCCTGCGGGCTTTGTCCTGCCTAAGAAACCCCCTGACCAAAGACGACAAAGATACGCGGACCACGAGGCAGCTTATCATCGCCAAAATTGGGCAGCTCAAGACCCTGAACAAATGTGAGGTGAGCACTGGCATCGTGATTACCTTTTTTTTTTGAGATGGAGTCTTGTTCTGTTGTCCAGATTGGAGTATAGTGGCATGATTTCGGCTCACTGCAACCTCTGCTTCCCGGGTTCAAGTGATTCTTGTGTCTCAGCCTCCCGAGTAGCTGGGATTACAGGGATGCGCCAGCACGACCAACTAATGTTTTGTATTTTTAGTAGTGACAGGTTTTCACTGTGTTAGCCAGGATGGTCTCAATCTCCTGACCTCATGATCTGCCCACCTCGGCCTCCCAAAGTGCTGGGGTTACAGGCATGAGCCATCACACCTGGCCCATGACTAGTTTTTTTTAGACAAGAAAATAAATTATTTTAGGCTGGGCTCAGTGGCTTACGCCTGTAATCTCAGCACTTTGGGAGGCTGAGGCAGGCTGATCGCTTGAGTCCAGGAGTTCGAGACCAGCCTGGGCAACCTGGTGAAACACCATCTCTATTAAAAAATATAAAAATTAGCTGCATGGTGGCACAGGTCTGTAGTGCCTATAGTCGCAGCTACTTAGAAGGCTGAAGTGGGAGGATCACCTGAGCCTGGGAGGCCAAGGCTGCAGTAAGCCGTGAATATGCCACGGTACTCCAGCCTGGGCAATGGAGTGAGATTCTGTCTTAATTAAAAAAAAAAAATAAGGCCAAGTGTGGTGGCTCACACCTGCAATCCCAGCACTCTGGGAGGTTGAGGCAGGTGGATCACCTGAGGTCAGGAGTTCGAGACCAGCCTGGCCAATATGGTGAAACCCTGTGTCTACTAAAAATATAAAAATTAGCTGGGTGTGGTGGCACATGCCTGTAATCCCAACTACTTGGGAGGCTGAGGCAGGAGAATTGCTAGAACCCGGGAGGTGGAGGCTGCAGTGAGCCAAGATCACGCCACTACACTCCAGCCTGGGCGACACAGCAAGACCCTATAACAAAAAACAAAAAGTAAAAAGATACTATTTTTAATATTGTAAAGGGGGTGATAGGTAGCTTTCATGGAATGGTAGAAGAACCTGGTGCAGTGAGCCAAGATCACGCCACTACACTCCAGCCTGGGCGACACAGCAAGACCCTATAACAAAAAACAAAAAGTAAAAAGATACTATTTTTTAATATTGTAAGGGGTGGTAGGTAGCGTTCATGGATTGGTAGAAGAACCTGGTGCAGTGAGCCAAGATCACGCCACTACACTCCAGCCTGGGCGACACAGCAAGACCCTATAACAAAAAACAAAAAGTAAAAAGATACTATTTTTTAATATTGTAAGGGGTGGTAGGTAGCGTTCATGGATTGGTAGAAGAACCTGGTGCAGTTTCATAGTAACACTTCTCTTCCAGCTCCTGAGAATCTTCCACTTAGATCAGTGCAGGAAAAACCTGTTCTCTGCCGCCTGTGGCCTGATTCATGATTATTTGACGAATACCAGGCACTTTCTCCATTTTTTCCGGGAAACTAGGCAGAAAGAACACAGAACCACAGAGCGTAGTTTCTCCTCTCCTGCTTAGCCACTCTTCTCCATAAAAGTGGGAAGGCCACACCTTGTCCTTGCCAGCACTTTTGTGCATTCACTGGGAGTCGGTCAGCTCTGCCAGGGCAGGCGCCTCCAGGCAGACCTCAGGGAGGTGACCCAGGGTACCTGGTGTAGTCCTGAAACTGGCTTATGTGCAAGTACTCTCATGAATTAAAGTGTAAAACTGAAATTATTTTTGCTTTTCTGATAAATCCTTGAGTTCTGTCAGTGTTAAAAAGAGGGGTGAAAATTGGCTGGGTGTGGTGGCTCACGCCTGTAATCCCAGCACTTTGGGAGGCCAAGGCAGGCGGATCACAAGGTCAAGAGATCGAGACCATTCTGGCCAACATGGTGAACTCCATCTTTACTAAAAATACAAAAATAAGCCAGGCATGGTGGCGCATGCCTGTAATCCCAGCTACTCCAGAGGCTGAGGCAGGAGAATTGCTTGAACCCAGGAGGCAGATACTGTAGTGAGCCGAGATTACGCCACTGCACTCCAGCCTGGCGACAGAGCTAGGCTCCTTCTCAAACAATAAAAAAAAAACAAAAATTTAAAAAATTAAAAAAGAAAATAGAATTTTGTCTTGTCCCTGTCTGCACGTGCAGTGGAGGAAGGCCAAGGTGCAACACGCAAAGGACTTGTTAGAAGAAAGCTTTCTAATAGACTTGTTTTTATGTCACATCAACATAGATTCTCCCAGAGGAGAGGTTGGGAGCTGAGCTGGACTACCAAAGAGCTTTTGGAAATGAGTGGAAAAAGGCTGGTGGACATCAGGACCCGGACAAAAACAGACTCAGCGAAGAATTCCTCGCAGCCCATCCTAGATACCAGTTCCTCTGCCTGAGTACGTGTGTATGCACTGGTGGATTTCCAGCTGGAACAGAGTTTTTTTCCTTGGGTCTCAAAAGAGGTTCTCAGTGTTGTTTTTGCCCTTCCTCCTTTCCTGGGCTTTTTGTACTCATCTAATTGGACTGTAGGCACTTTCCTGGGGCAAGTGCAGCAGGGCAAGAGCAGTATCTTTCAGCAGGAGGAAACTGGTTCTTGAACGGAGAGATTTGCATTTGGGGAGGGGGAAGCAGTTTTTTATTTTTAAGAGATGGAGTGTTGCTCTGTCACCCAGGCTGGAGCAATCTTGGCTCACTGCAACCTCTGCCTCCTGGGTTCAAGTTACTTTCCTGCTTCAGCTTCCTGAGTAGTTGGGATTACAGGCTTGTACCGCCATGCTTGGCTAATCTTTGTATTTTTAGTAGAGATGGGTTTCACCGTATTGGCCAGTCTGGTCTTGAACTCCTGACCTCAAGTGATCCACCTGCTTTGGCTTCTCAAAGTGCTGGGATTATAGGCATGAGCCATTGCTCCTGGTGGGAAGGCATTTTTTTTTTTTTTGAGATGGAATCTCACTCTTGCCCAGGCTGGAGTGCAGTGGCACTATCTGGGCTCATTGCAAGCTCCGCCTCCTGGGTTCAGGTGATTCTCCTGCCTCAGCCTCTCAAGTAGCTGGGACTACAGGTCCATACCGCCATGCCTGGCTAATTTTTGTATTATTTTTTTTTTTTAGTAGAAATGGGGTTTCACCATGCTGGCCAGGCTGGTCTCTAACTCCTGACCTCGTGATCTACCCACCTTGGCCTCCTGAAGTACTGGGATTACAGGCATAAGCCACCGTGCCCAGCTGGCATCTGTATTTTTTGAAGCCCCCCAGGTGTTTGTAGTGAACAGGAAAGTTCACGAGGGTAGCTCTTTAGTAAGCTCTCTTGTCCGGAGGGCTCACTGCCTGTTCTACAAAGGTTGGCACTTGGTCTGCACGATGGTTCCTTAAATCCTCCAGCCTCGTTCTTCAGGCTTTGAAGCTAAGAATTCATGAGTCTTTGTCCATGATGTACTTTCCATTTTGTTTTGACTTATTATTCCACATTTCACTTTTATGTGATTTTCCTTTTTTTATCTTTCTTAATGCAAGAAGCTCACTGTATAAATGCTTTAGGCTTGAACAGTATCTTTAAGGATGAAGAGCTGCCTGTGGGAATCACTTTCTTTCTTTCTTTTTTTTGAGATGGAGTTTCGCTCTTGTTACCCAGGCTGGAATGCTATCTCAGCTCACCACAACCTCTGCCTCCTGGGTTCAAGCAATTCTCCTGCCTTAGCCTCCCAAGTAGTTGGGACTATAGGTGCATGCCACCGTGCCCAGCTAATTTTTGTATTTTTAGTAGAGACGGGGTTTCACCATGTTGACCAGGATGGTCTCGATCTCTTGACCTCGTGATCCACCTGCCTTGGCCTCCCAAAGTGCTGGGATTATAGGCGTGAGCCACTGCGCCCGGACGGGAGTGACTTTCAAATTACTCCATTAGCCTGCCCAATTCCCTGGCCATGCTTGGTGAATTCTGAATCACTTGGGGGTGAGCAAGGAAAGATCCTGAAGCAGCCAGGCAGGTATTGTTCAGTATTTCACTGCTAATGCTAGAAGACCAAAGCACAGATACGTGAGGGGATTTAGAGAAATTTTGTCACTGTTTGGCCTAGAGCAGGAAAAACGTACTGCTTTTCCTCCTCTCCTATGGAGGCTGTGGTCCAGGCCGAGGAACTGGGCTGCAGTGTGGTACTGAGTGCCCAGCCTGGCACTGCACGGTCTGGTTGAAACTTGGGGAAGGTGTTTTCTGGATTGCGTCTCAGGTTCAGACCAGGTTTCGCTCAGTGCAGAAAGAGAACCGTTTCCAAAGGTGACATTTGGAGAAGACATTTGAAGTTTTTGAACGCAGTCTTCTCTGCTAGTTTGAGTCAGGACACTGTCAGTCTCTAAGGAACGATGGAATACACACGTAAACATGTCGCTTTTCATTTATTGTCTTTTATTGAATTTCACTGGTCATTAACAATGAGCTAGACGAGTTACAGAGCTTGCAGCTCTGAGTAAATGGAGGATTCTGCCCTTGGAAGTGCCTGTTGTCCATCACTCCTAAAAATCAAGCGGAATAGAGCTTGGTGTGTCCTGGGAAAGACACAGGCTCTCTGCACACTTACCTATCTTTTTTTTTTTCTGTTTTTTTTTTTTTTTCTTATAGTGGCCTTCGGTTTATCACTCATCTCTTTTAATTTCTTAAACAGAATATGGTGCACCTGAAGATGGGGAACTCAAAAGACAACCACTTATGCTCAAAAACCAGCTATTAAGTAAGAATGTCAGATTCCAAATCACTTATTTGTATTTGAGTCCTTAGATGCTGAAACAGACAATGAGTTAGAGTGTTTCTCTTAAGTGTGCATCCCTAAGTACCTAAGTAAATGCTTTGAGTTTAAATGCCTTTTTTTTTTTGGAGAGTCTCCTCTGTCTCGGCTCACTGCAACCTCTGCCTCCTGGGTTCAAGCAATTTTCCTGCCTCAGCCTCCCAAGTAGCTGGGACTACTGGTGCCCACCACCATGCCCAGCTAATTTTTCTCTTTTTAGTAGAGACGGGGTTTTATCATGTTGGCCAGCATAGTCGTGATCTCTTGACCTCGTGATCTGCCTGCCTCGGCTTCCCAAAGTACTGGGATTACAGGCATGAACCACTGCGGCTGGCCAGAAATGAATTCTTTAAAACATAAATTTTATATTGAACATTTTTGCAACACCTATTTTTTTTTTTTTTTTTAATTTTTCCTATTTTGGTTTTTGTGAGACAGAGTCTTGTTTTGTCGCCTAGGCTGGATGGAGTACAATGGTGGGATCTCGGCTCACTGCAACCTCTGCCTCCAGGGTATAAGCCATTATCCTGCCTCAGCCTCTGGAGTAGCTGGATTACAGGCATCCACCACCATGCCTTGGCTAATTTTTGTATTTTTATTAGAGACGGGATTTCACCATGGTCTCAAACTCCTGACCTTGTGATCCGCCCGCCTCGACTTCTCAGAGTGCTGGGATTACAGGTGTGAGCCACCGTACCTGGCCACAACTCCTATTTTAAACTCATTTAATACTGTTATAAATGTGGGAGGTATTGGAGTTGTGAACCAAATTGCGATCTGTGCATTTGTGACTTGAAAACCTAGCTCTTAAACTGTGAGGAAAGAAGTAGTAAGAGGGGAAAGGGAAAGTGTTGGTCCAGCTATTTTTGTTAGCAATTCATGGAGGGTTTTTTCCCTTTGTTTTGAGATGGAGCCTCACACTGTTGCCCAGGCTGAAGTGCAATGGCAACCTGCTACCAGCCTGGCGAATTTCTTGTATTTTTTTTTTCTTTTTTCCAAAACGGAGTTTCGCTCATTACCCAGGCTGGAGTGCAATGGCGCGATCTCAGCTCACCGCAACCTCCGCCTCCTGGGTTCAGGCAATTCTCCTGCCTCAGCCTCCCGAGTAGCTGGGACTACAGGTGTGTGCCACCATGCCCAGCTACTTTTTTTCTATTTTTAGTAGAGACGGGGTTTCATTATGTTCCTGACCTTTGTGATCTGCCCACCTTAGCCTCCCAAAGTGGTAGGATTACAGGTGTGAGCCACTGTGCCTAGCCTCATGGAAGTATTAATAGAAACCATTTTAAACATTGATTAGACCTGCCAATTTGCACTGAATAGCTCTATCATTTGGCCATATATTAACGTGTGTGGTTAATTTAAATCCCTTTCATTGTTTCTCTGAAAGCACTGAAGATAAAATACCCTCATCAACTTGATCAGAAAGTCCTAGAGAAACAACTGCCAGGTAAGAAGAATGAGCCTATCTTTTCCTTCCTTAAACTTCTGAATCATCAGCCTAGGTAAGTCAGCTAAAATTAAAACCTTTGACTCATGTCTCAAAGTATGGACCTCAGAGCTTATAGGTTTTCATTAGTCTTTTATGTTCTAAAATATAATCAGTCATGCTAATATCACTCCCCAATAACCCCAAAAGTTCAGGCCTCCCATAACTTTATCAGCTGAAAAGTTTTGTTAAAATTGGAAGCCCCCTACATGTAATTACACACACATCTATTTCTCATGTATATATATGAAATAATTTTTTGAGACAGGGCCTTTGTCACCCAGGTTGGAGTGCAGTGGCACCGTCTCAGCTCACTGCAACCTCTGCTTCCTAGGCTCAACAGTTCTCCAGCCTCAGCCTGCTGTAGCTGGGACTACAAGTGCGAGCCACCAACGCTCTGCTAATTTTTGTATTTTTTTGTAGAGATGGAGTTTCGCTGTGTTGCCCAGGCTGGTCTCGAATTCCTGAGTTCAAAGCGATCTGCTTGCCTTGGCCTCCCAAAGTGTTGGGATTACAGGCATGAGCCACTGTTCTTGGCCTATAATTGTATTTTTAACCAAAGCCTGAGAGCTTGAGTGGCATAGCCTTTCAGAAGCATTCCCCAAGCCTGCTGCTGTTTCTAGGGACACTGTGCACTGGATTTGGGGTCTGCTTATCATCTCTTCATAAGAGAAGAGGTATGTCCTGGTGGACTGGATTGTTATGGGAGATTTGTGACTTTGCTTACATTCTACTTACCTCCTGCTCCTGACTGATCAGGAGTCCCTGCAAAAACAATTCGCAAATGCTCTTTTAATGGACACCCTGAAATGGTTTTCTTTGAGAAAACCACTCTAAAACTTAAAAAAAATTGTGCTACTGGAACTGAATTACTTTTGGAAAATAAATACGCTTGTGTCAACAAATTAGATCAATATAACTTACCTTAAACTTGCCCCCTCAAAAGAAAAGTTATAGTCTAATTTTGAGTATGCCACAATATTGCGAATTCTCAAGATTAAACTTGATTTGTAGTTAAATGCTAAAATATAAATGGTAAATTTAGAGCAGTGAGGATTTAAATAAATGAAATACATGCACATCAGCCTAAACGACTCTGGTACACTAGGTTTCTTTGTTTGCCCATCGGTGCAGTAAATTCACATTGATTTTTAAATTAGTTTCTATCAGATCAAGCTTATCATGATAAGCTTATCATGGTATTGCTTATAGAAGGCCTTAGTTGTGTTCAAAGAAGTACCTTTCTGATTGATAACCATCCATTTAATGTTAATTTACCAATACTTACCCATTTTTATTTATTCACAATCCAGTTTCTGTTCCTATAATACGTAATTTTGCTACTGCTATATAATTGATTAGAGTTAGTGATGTCTTGCTGCATTATTCTGTTTTCAAACTTAAATACTGCCAATAAAGGCCCTGGTGGAGACAGACTAGTCAAAGAGAGCCGGGACTGATGGTTTGAGCCACTGTAATCCAGCCTGGGTGACAGTGAGACCCTGTCTCAAAAAAAGAAAATACTACAATATTAGTTTTTTACTCCATTAGATGAGCAAAAATTAAAGAAAATAATAACTGGCATGAAAAAGCAGTATACCCTTTTTTGTAAAGTCATGTAGAAATTACTATAAAAAATTAAAAATACACATCTGCTCCGACCAAGCATTCTCTCTTGCAGCATTTGTAACGGTAAATAGTAAGAATCTAAATGCTTGCCAGTGGGGGCGTGGTGAATAAACTCTGGTAGAATCACACAGCACACAAGCACTGTCGCACGTCACTGAGGAGAATGAAGGAGGTCTAGAGTTGTGCTGTCCAGGGTGGCTGCAATAACCACGTGGCTATTTAAATTCATTAAGATAAAATAAAAAAATTCAATTCTTCAGTCATACTAGCCACACTTCAGGTGCTCAGTACATGTGGTTGCCATATTGGGCAGTGTATGTCTAGAGAACATGGCATGAAAAGCTATACCATCATGTAACAAAGAAGTACAAATGTAGTAGGTCAATACATTGTAAAATCTATACATCTTCTTTTTTTGAGACCGAGTCTCATTGCCCAGGCTGGAGTGCAGTGGTATGATCTCGGTACACTGCAACCTCTGCCTTCGGGGTTCAAGCAACTCTTCCTCCCAGGCAGCTGGGATTACAAGTGCCTGCCACCATGCCTGGCTAATTTTTTTAATTTTTAGTGGAGACAGGGTTTTACCATGTTGGCCAGGCTGGTCTCAAACTCCTGACCTCAGATGATCCACCTGCCTCAGCGTCCCAGAGTGCTGGGATTACAAGCGTGAGCCACTGCACCTGGTTTAAAACCCATACGTCTAGAAGGCCTAGAGGTATAACTCTCAAATTTTTAATACTGGTCATAAGCAGGTGAAAAGAAATAATTAGCTATCTCCATATTTTCTGAATGTTACTTAACTATATTAAACATGGTAATGCTATTTATTACATATAAATTACCACTTTCTTCCATAGAACTAGTGTGAGTAGGCAGTTTTTTTTTTTTTTTTTTTTTGAGAGAGGGTCTCACTTTCTACCCAGGCTGGATGGAGTACAGTGGCGTGATCATGGCTCACTGCAGCCTTGACATCCTGGGCTCAAGTGGTCTTCCCAGGTAGCTGGGACTAGAGGCGCACATCACTATGCCTGGCTAATGTTGTAGTTTGGTAGAGATGGGGTGTCCTCGTGTTACTCAGGCTGGACTTGAATTCCTGGGCTTTGATCGCTCTGCCTCCCAAAGCGCTGGGATTACAGCGTGAGCAGACCAGGCAGATTTCTTAGAATTGCCTGATGACCAAACTTTTTGTTTCTGGCATGTATCAGGAGTATGCCACTTCCCACTGGTGTGCAGCGGTTAACGCTTCTCTAACCATCATCCAGACAATGAAAGCCAGTCCATCTAAATCTTTCGAAAAGACTAGACTATCACATATTCACACAGGAAAGAGCAAATTCGGTTAATTAAAATTATAAATTCTATTTATATTCGTCATTACATACAAAAAGGCCAGTTTTTATTCTAAAATAAAGATAACATTTATTATCACAAGTTGCATAAAAACACACAGCTTTTACAAAAATGATTTCTGATAGAAAAATATGTTTGAATACATTGTGATATTTGTAGGAACAGCACACTATTGCTGCATCTCCAGCTAAAGCTTCACGGAAACTGTATTTCTCATAATCAAAATATCCACTATTTACCACAACCCATCTTTGGAAAGAAGTTCATAGTCTGTTCTGAACAAACCAACGCGTTTACTCTGAAGTTAATTCCCATGTATGTTTAACACAGTTACAAATTACATAATGACAGAATGGCCCTGCTGAAAGGGACCTTGTAGGTCATTTAGTTGACATCTTCATTTTACAGAGGGGGAACTCGGGCCAGAGAGGTTGAGAGATGTCCTCAGGACACCTGAGTACCATTCCAGTGTTTGCTCAGTAATTCATAAGAAGTCATCACAAAGGTTCAAAAAGAAAACTTACTGATTTCACTCCCATTATTCTGTGCTGAGTATCATGTCTGGTTTATTCAGATTAAGAAAGATTCTCTACTGAAATGCATGAAATGCACTGTCCAAGGGCACTTAGGGCCACTGGCTCCATTTCCCAGTTCCCCAAATGAACAGTTGATAGAAAGACTTGGGTTTTCCCCTAATTACTGACTTGGGTAAACTGACACTGAAAAATGACAGATACAGCTATCACTGCAGTGACTGTGGTCTCATCATATGAGCTAGTTTTACAGGTAACTGTCATCTGAGAGAACTAACGGACTGTTCTCATCTTTTGATAGGCTCCATGACAATTCAAAAGGTGAAGGGATTCCTGTCACGTCTTCTCAAAGTTCCAGTGTCAGACCTTCTGTTGTCCTATGAAAGTCCCGAGGTAAGCTGCTTAGCAAAATATAAAGTCAAGCTTAATCCCCAAACTGTGACATTAAACCGTCTCCAGATAGCAAGTTTGATTCTAAATGGAGGCCACAGATCTGTTTGATTTTAAGGGTAAGCTACTGCCTGAGGATGGAGTGGGGCGGGGAAGAGTATGTATAACATACGTTATACATACTGTCTTAATCACATCCTTTCCCACCTTTGTTCTAATTTTAGAAGCCGGGCAGAGAAATTGAGCTGGAAAATGACCTAAAGTCATTACAGTTTTATTCTGTGGAAAATGGAGACTGTCTGTTAGTGCGATGGTGACCAACTAATAAAATTTAGAGACTACACTGCTTATGTCTGGGGTTCACCAGAAATAAATGATTCACTGGAACAATTCTGTCAAAAAAAGGGGGGTTACTACTTGCCCTAAGTATAACAAGGGATGTATTTTAACAATGGATGTATTTTTTGTTGGGAAGCGACCATTTCTAGGCTAATACATAATAGCTATAATAAAGGCTTTGAACCTACTAATGGTTTTCTGATCTTATTTCGTATTTATTTTTACAGTTCATCACTGCATTTCATTATAAGATTTAAATATGAAATAGAAACTAGCTACCTAATAAAATCTGAACACAGTTAATGTCTTGTCATAAGACTAGTTTTAATGGAATTCTCTAGTGATACTACTATTTTAAAGGGTTGCTAAAATGATTTGGTTGGTCATTTTGGGAAATGTCCATTAAACTTAGGGAGACACATCCTCTACGTAATGTATGACATATATGCTATTATCTCTCTTCTCAGGTGCACTATTTTTTTAAGAATACTTAATCACATGCTTTTCCCTATATTTATACCTGAGCTGAGTGTATGTGCTGTAGATTACCAGCTGATTGAAATGTTACTCATGTTAGGTAAACATTAGGCAATGAGAGGAGGAAAGCAAAATTCTTTCAAAATGTCACAATTTAGAAATATCCTTCCTGGTGGCACGAAAACCCTGAGCGGTATTTTGCTTTTATTCATACCCACAAAAATTGAGCATTTAAAAAATATGAGTATTAAACGGTGACCTTCAGGATTTATGTTAGATGGCAGAAAGAAAATTTGGTTATTCGTCTTACCATATGAATGAACTTCTTTAAAACCAAGGTTCAGAGCTGAGAATCATATTGGTTCCTTCTCAAGTTCAAGTTGCCCACTTCAGTGATCCACAAAATTTGACATTTCCAGAAACCCCAAACTTTGGTATAAGAGACCATTGCTCAGATATGTGATTACATGATCACACAGCATTCCTGTGAGTTCTTTTTGTCTAATTATCCTAATTCAGCTCTACAGAACTATCCTAAAATCCAGGCTGAAATTCAAACTCAGTTACTACAGATTTCTGAACTAGGCCAAGTTTTAACCAAAAATTATAGTTAATGATAAATGACTAGTCACGATGCATCAGGATTTAGAAATATTTTTTCTTTTATAAAATAATTTGGTATTTTTCTGATAATCTTCCAATATATGAATAAAAACTTTTCTTATGCTACAGTACCAGTTGATTTTTAAGAAGGAAATTTGTGCAAACATTAAGAAACACCGCACTAGTTCTGGGTAAAAGTGCCAGTCTTAGAACTCTCCTGAAAGATAGTACAGCCTACTGCTAAACCCTGGGCCTCCTTAGACTTGCCATCAGATTATCGTTTGCCTGCCCTGATTTCCCTGTTATCTTGTTTCACATCGACAAGGATCACCGCACATTTCCTTTAGTTTCCACAGTTCTATCAGTTCCTGTGGAGAATACTGAGGAGAAGACAGCATTCCTGTCTCACAAGTCTTCTCACACAGCCACAGGCTGTCCTGTTGAAAAACAAAACAGAAGCTGATCTGAGAGCTGTGAAACTGTTGGAAGAGCCTAAGAAAGTCTGCATATAGACAGCTTTTATGTATTCTAATGATGCTGAAATTATTTCAAGGATAACTCCATGTGTGGACCAACTGGTGAGGTTTGGGGGTGGCAGCTCCTGCTGTGGAATACAGAACAAGGCGGTGTGTGGATTAAGAGTTAGTCACCAAATGCAATTCTGTGATGAAAGATTTTAGAAACCGCAAGTGAGTTTCATGTTTGCAGTTAAACGTGATTCTATGGCAGAATTAGTAACATCTGTTGTTCTGATGGAACACTTACAATAATGTGAGGGCTGTACCCAAGTGCTGTGTAAATATTTCCATTCTCACAATAATGCTGTAAGGTAGAATTATTTCCCTTACAATTGAGAAAGAGTTAAATCACTTGTTCAAGGTCACAGGACTGGTAACGAAGAGGAGGAATTAAAGACTCCCTAGCTCAAGTTCTTAGACTACTTCCTAGCACATAAATTGGCTTCTATTTCCAGCAACAGAGCAGAACACACAGAAACTCATTCAGTTAGACAACACAAACATGTTGGATAAAGTTAAAAAACCTTTATAAAGCATGGCTGAACTCCTCGGTGAAAGAAAAATGGTAGGAGCAAGTAGAGTCAGCATGTACCTTGAAGGTGTCTGCTGATCCCTGGGTTTTGAAAGGCTAAGCCCAGGGACAGGAGGCTTAACTGGAGACTGACAGCTGGGATCCCTGAGGGCCACAGCCTCAGGGAGTTTATAAGAAAACAAACCCGGCTTGTCTGTCTCAGTCTTGCCCCCTCAGTGGGATGGAGAGGAGTCTCTCTCCCCTGAGTGTCTAACTACAGCTTGCACTTAGGTGGGTCTGGGGCTGGTAGACACAGTCTGTGTAGGCCCAACAGTTCTAAACTGTAAATCTGAAGTATTCATAGATAGTACTTGCAAGTGCATGGCAGAAAAAAATATAAATCCTCTTTGTAAGAATGCATTTTAGGCCAGGCATGGTAGCTTTGGCCTGCAGTCCCATCACTTTGGGAGGCTGAGGTGGGCCGATCAGTTGAGGTCAGGAGTTCGAGACCAGCCTGGCCAACAAGGCGACACTCTGTCTCTACTAAAAATAGAAATAAGCCGGGCACAGTGGCTTATGCCTGTAATCCCACAGCACTTTGGGCAGCCAAGGTGGGTGGGTGACCACGAGGTCAAGAGATTGAGACTAGCCTGGCCACCAAGGTGACACTCTGCCTCTACTAAAAATAGAAATAAGCTGGGCACAGTGGCTTATGCCTGTAATCCCACAGCACTTTGGGCGGTCAAGGTGGGTGGGTGACCACGAGGTCAAGAGATTGAGACTAGCCTGGCCAACATGGTGAAACCCCATCTCTACTAAAAATACAAAAATCAGCTGGGTGTGGTGGCACGCACCTATACTCCCCAGCTACTCAGGTGTCTAAGGCAGGAGAATCGCTTGAACTGGGGAGGCAGAGGTTGCAGTGAGCTGAGATGGCCACTGTACTCCAGCCTGGGTGACAGAGCAAGATACTGTCTCAGAAAAAAGAAAAAAAAAAGAATGCATTTTAAATATAGGATTCAGTTTCCAAAGACATGACACGGTCACCAAAACAAACAAACAAACTGCAGAATCAGACCCAGCAGAGACTACAGATCCCACTACTACCAGATACAGAAAAGAATTCTATTCGAAGATGAGACTGAAAGTAACAACAAAGGAACTGGACTATCAAAATGGACCATGTAGAGATGGGTTTCTTTCTTGTCCTGGACTGAGAGCTGCTCTGGGGTCAGGGCCCTTAACTGACACACTGCATGTGCCTTCTGTCGCCTGCACCTTCGCTGGCCAAAATGGAAGCTGCAAGAATCCAGAACTCAACAGAAATCTCTGAAGCAAAAGCCACCTTTGTGCTTGCTTGCTTCCCAGGGCTCCCAGTTTCCACTTTGGTCTCTGCAGATTCGTTTTTTTCCTGGCTCAGCAATAGCGTGTTTTAAATGATGCCTTCTATTACATGCAGTGTCTTAGTGTTACCGGTCAGAAGGGTGGAAGGATGCTTAGATTGCCACACTCAATCAGCGGATTCTGTCATTAAATTTTAAAGCTGCAAATAATTTCTGATTGAATCTATGGAAACTGAATTCTTTGTACGTAGGGGAACTTTCATTCCTCCTTTTGCTTTAAACTCAGAAAAATACTGGCTGAGAAATAACCTAGGTGAATTATTGTGAATTACAGTAACAGCATTAACTTATGGTAGAAGATCCTCATTCTTTCTGTCCATGGTGTGATATACATTACAGGCTGGATTCCAAATCTGAAAATCTCAAATCTAAAATCCTCCAAAATCCAGCTTTTTTTTTTTTTGAAACAGGGTCCCTCTCACTCTGTTGCCCAAGCGGGAGTGCCGTGGTGCAATCACAGCTCACTGCAGCCTTGACCTCCCAGACTTGAGTGATCCTCCTACCTCAGCCTCCTGAGTAGCTGGGACCACAGGCAGGCACTGCCATGCCCAGCTAATTTTTTGTACTCTTTGCAGAGATGGGGGTTTTGTCATGTTGGCCAGGCTGGTCTTGAACTCCTGGGCTCAAGTGACATGCCCACCTTGGCCTCTCAGTGTTGGGATTACAAGTGTGTGCCATTGCCCAGCCCAAAACTTTCTGAGAGCCAACATCACACTCAAAGGAAACGCTCACCGAAGCATTTCAGATTTGAGATGTGGAACTTGAAAGTATAATGCAATTATTCTAAAATCCAAAAAAATTCTGAAATCCTAAATAATTCTGGTCCCAAGCATTTTGAATAAGGGACACTCAATCTGTATATGGAAATCTCACCTCCTCAACTCTTTAAGAATCCCAAGGCCACTCCCAAAGACTTACCTGGTATCTTTTAGGTCCTATGGCTGCCATCCAGATACCCATGCTTACATCTTCACCCTATATACATGGCCCACAAAGTTTAAATGTAAAAGTTTTAAATGCCATTTTATTTGTAAAGACAAAACCATGCCCACTCCCATCATATATTACCTTTCTACTTTTTTGCTCTGTTATTATTCTAATATGAAATAGCAAAAGTGGATTCACGCAAAGTCAAAGCTAGTGGCCGTTAGTATGAAGCACCCCCACAAGGTAATGAGAAGAAGACACCGCGAGTAGATGGCCCATCCTTCTCATGTACCTTAAGCCTCCAGGAAGCACTTTGGGTTCCTCCTTAGGAATAAAGTCTTTCTCAGGGACTGAGCTTTTTTTTTTTGAGATAGTGCCTGCCTCTGTCAGCCAGGATGGTATATAGTCATGTGATCTCGGCTTACTGCAACCTCTGCCTACCCAGGTTCATGTGATTCTCCTGTCTCAGCCTCCCAAGTAGCTGGGAATACAGGTGTGCACCATTACGCTAACTTTTTGTATTTTTAGTATGGATGGGGTTTGCCATGTTGGCCAGGCTGGTTTCAAATTCCTAACCTCAAGTGATCCACCTGCCTTAGCCTCCCAAAATGCTAGGATTACAGGTGTGAGCCATGGTGCCCAGTCTCCAGGGACTATACTTATAAATACTGGCTGAAAACATAAGTAGGCTCAAAAAAGATTATAGAATTTAAAGCCAAGATCTGAGGGACATAGGGTTGCATCCTTA